GTGATCCGTTTGACGTGTTGATTAGAATCAGCTAAAGGCCAAACCTATATGCCCATTAGGTTGTGGTGTTCAGACGAACTTCACCAACGGTACTCTACATCGTCTCAGAGTCGGCAAAAATTTTAAAAGGTAAACGTCCATATCCTAACTATAGATTCCGCTGCGTTAGGATTTATTTCGATAAAGTTCAATGCTGTGCATGTTGTTTGACGTTCCTAACAGAACCCAACACGTATTCGCGCCCATTCTTGCGCCAGTTTGTTGCCCGTCTCGGTGCCATCTTCTCGCACGCTCTTGCGCATGTTACTGCTCATACGCTCGCCTGCTCGCGGCCATCCCATGTGCGCGCTGTCCACCCAACATCCACCCCTCGCGTACCGCTTATGTAATATGTCGTCATTTTATTAATATAAATCATGTTTTAGTTCCGATATAATCACGTTGTCGATTATTATTTTCGGAATTAATTATTTTCAGTCGAAATTCCCAAAATTATTTTCGACATTCCGTTTACGTTCGGAATAATTTTGGTAATTAAGCATTATGTTTAATTAAATAATTAAACATAATGAAGTGATTAATTAGCAACTAATCACATTCAAAGCTTAAAGGCCGTACGCAATTTTCCCAAAATTAAGTACAAAGCTGTAAGCAATTTTTTTTGGTTCAAGCCATGCATTATGTCATGCAATTAAGCATGAGGTGGCAAGTTTAAAGGGTGATTAGTCATCCATAAATATCTATCTAATCTCCAAGTGTTAAGCAATAGTTAATCCACCAAATCAAGACATCGTTCCAAATTCTTGCTCCCTTTCGGTTCTAGTATAAATAGGGTACTTGGGATGAAATTTCTCTTTACGTTTCAACACTATATTTCTTCTCCAAATATATTAAGTTCAGCAAGGAAAAATGCTTACCTTAGCCGCTCCGCACGTTAGCTCAGCACACACGCACCGCACGCTGCACCGCCGAGAGTACCGAACGGCGAGTACGCACCCCACCCCGCACGCGAGAGCGTCGTCACGCACGGAAGCCGATTATTCCGATCAGTTGGTGCTCTCAGTTAGTTGTTCGAAGAGGTAACTTTAGTTTACCTTAGAATACTCATGTTAAAGTCATGTATAATCCGATCTGTTCATGTTAAGGGTACGACTTTAATTCGTTTGACCGTGCGTGTACCGTCGGGCATGCTCATGTTTCGATGAATTATGTCTCAATTTATTGTCATAAATTAGTCCCTTGATGCTATTCATGTTCAGTAAAGCTCAAGTATTTGGTAAATTTTCATGTGTAAGTAATGGTTTGGCCGAGGTCGTGGTTGCGCAAGTAGCGCACGCCACGGGCCATCATGTACCGTATCATGTTAGTTCTTATTAGTATCATGTTATTCGAACCCCTCATGAATAAGTGATCATTTTATGTCATGTCATATTTAGTTGAGTATGAATTGCCGAGAGAAAAGCAAGTTTGGTCGAGAGACGGCCTAACGCCGTCGGCGGCGCACGGTGCGCACGCCACGGCCACATTCAGCTCATTGTGCAAAAATTCATGTTCTTAAGTAATTTTCGTTTTGAGGATCATGTCAAGTTAGTT